TGAGTGTTTGTGTGTGTGTGTGTGTGTGTGTGTGTGTGTGTGTGTGTGTGTGTGTGTGAGATATAGATATATATATATATATATATATATATATATATATATATATATATATATATATATATATATATATGTGTATATATATATATGTTTTATTTATAGCAGATATATATATATATATATATATATATATATATATATATATATATATATATATATATATATATATATATATATATATGCGTGTGTGTATTTATAATGTATATAAATATAATGTAAATATTTGATATATTTACACATTTAAATATTTATGTAACAAAATAGTTTTGAATAGTTTGATTTATGTACAGATTTAACTGTATATAACACACACACACACACACACACACACACACACACACACACACACACACACACACACACACACACACACACACACACACACACACACACACACACACACACACACACTATGTCAAACAAACTTTTATGATTTGATTAATCCAGATTAATCTTCGCCCTGCACTTATTCTGACATACGCACAACGTAAACAGCTGATTGAATTCATTCAGAAATACAATAATAATAATAATAATAGAAACAATGGAACGGATAGCTCGATGAAGAATAATGAATATACTTTATAATAATGATAACAATAATAATAATCATAATAGCTTACTGTAAACGACACAGACCGGGTAGTGGCGTCTTTTACCTGCTGGTAGTCAACATTACTCACCTCGTGTGAAATTGCAATTATTTTATATAAAATATTTCCCAAGTGCTATTACCTAATATTGCTAATAACTCAATTTAATAACTCAACTAATTTTATGATGACAGCACATAATATTAGACTAGATATTCTTCAAGACACTAGTATTCAGCTTAAAGTGACATTTAAAGGCTTCACTAGGGTAATTAGGGTAAAGTTAGGGTAATTAGGCAAGTCATTGTATAACAGTGGTTTGTTCTGGAGACAATCTAAAACTAATATTGCTTAAGGGGGCTAATAATATTGACCTTATAATGGCATTAAAACAATTCAAAACTGCTTTTATTCTAGCCGAAATAAAACAAACAAGACTTTGTCCATTAGAACAAATATTAGAGGAAATACTGTGATAAACTCCTGAATCTGTTAAAGCTCCTGTCAATTTAAAAAGCAGTATTATTAGATGTTAGTATCAGTGTGTTAGTCTTACGGCTATCTATAATCTAGTGTGCTCTAAAACAGTGACATTTAGAAGAACCTGATATAAACAGCCAATGTTTGCAGCTTGTCACTATCATATAAACAAATCGAAATCATACTTTAGTTTACCATCAAATCTTCTGACCAATCAAATCCTCTCTAAGTGTCTGACATGCCCGCCCCCTTCTTCTCATTGGCTGTTCATTTGAAGTGCTTGAGCTCAAGCGCTCTCACTGGCAGAGCTGTGAGAAAACTAACTGCAGGTAAGAGCAGGTATTCCAGCAGCCCAACAAGCGAAAGCTAGCAGCGGAGGAGAAAACCCGCACGATTTTAAAAATAGTCTTCGGTTGAGTTACGAAATAAAGTTTTAAGAGTTTTTCAGGTGAGAATGTAGTTGTTTTAAACTCAAATAGTGCGTCTTTGGCGATGTGCCTCAGCTTATGCGGACTCTGTCCAGCAGCCTGACAGAGGGAGCTCAGTCATCACCTCCAACGCCGACAGCAGCTTTACTTTGGCCAGTCCATTACGGACGTACTGCTGGATCTCATCTCTTAATTGTAGTTAAAACATGATATTTAACGCATCTTGTGTATATCTAACGGACAGTGTTTGGTCTTTTATATCTAATATTTGTTCACAGGTGTATTATTTTGGCAGTGTTATTTTGTTATGCTTAATAATTGCCTTTGATTATGTTGTACGATGTTTGTCTTTGTTTACCAAATTGTCTAACGTTATATTTATTTCTTACTCGTGTCTTATACTTTGTATTTGTATAATGTCCGTTTATTAAATCTGATAATCAAAGACACGAGTCAGTGTATGATAACACCTTTTACTTCACATTTATATGGATTTATGTTTACATTTTCTTAAATCAAAGATATTGATTTATAATATTAATATACTGTTTATTTTAAGGCCGTGCTTCATATAATTAAGTGAAGCTTATTTATAAACTAATTTCGAGAGGATCACGTGCTTATGATTTCTTCCGGCAGGTCCTGCATTATCCAATGTATCATTGACCAATCAGATGACTCCTAAGCCACTATAAATACCCTGAGTTCCACATCACAGCCATCTTCTTTTTGAAGAACCCCCTCCCTTCCACCCCTACTCCTTCTCCTTTCCTAAATGGGTTAGCACTGCTGCCTCACAGCAAGAACTGGTCACTGGTTTTAGTCCTTACCAAGCCAGCCGTTGTTTCTGTGCGGAGTTTACACGTTCTCCCCGTGCTCACGTTGGTTTCCCCCGGGTTCCTCCCACCGTCAAAAAACATGCAACTTAAGTTAATTGACTAATTCAAATAGACACTATAGAAATGCTCCCAGTAAGTAGTTCTCTCTTAAGAGCGATCACTATCTGTTCATTAGCTCCTACAGCAAAGGAGTTCTCCAGATCTACCTGAGCTCAAACTCCCCTTTTGCCCTGCAAAACCAAAGGGAGCCCTGGGCTTGAGGATCTTATAAGCTCTAGGTTCTCTCTCGGGACAGCATGCCAAACAAGCTTTGTAATCAATCATCAGCTAACTGTGAACTCTTGCAATCATTTTATTGTTAATGTACTGTGAAACCGATGAATCCATGGTGAGGTAAGTGACGTTATTAAGTACACTGTCGTTCCATTTAAAGAAGTACCCGATTTGTGTCCTCGCGTCCTCTGGAGATCGTTCTTCCAAGTCTGAACTTGGCAGATCTGAACTTCTACGGACGCAAGCTCGACCTTTGCGTACTTGGTATTGAGAGACAGCCAGAGTTTTTGAGGCCCACTGCAGCGTGACGGCGGAGTGCGGTTTTCCCCGCCCACTGAATTGATTGACAGGTGCCATGTTTCTATGATAACATGCACACACATGTCCACACAACATTTGTTTGCAAATAAACTGGGTTAAAACGTCTGTTCAACTCTCTGCGATTTAAGTTTTATAAGTATAAAGTGTTTTTAAAGCAGCGCATGTTTGTAATCAATACAGTAAAATCGCAGTAATTTGTATTCGCTATAATGATGTGTCAGTAAACACGCATATGTGTGTGCATGTGTGTGCTGCAAGCATCAGTTGTGTGAGACTCATCCTTTCAGATAGGATTGTTTTTGACTAATGAGCTGTATTTCATCTTCATCAGAGTCTGTCTCTGTCACTGACTGCTGTTTATCTGACGTAATGCATGATAAGCAGACACTCTTGTGGGAACGGTGGGATCGGGAGAAGGAGCTCATTTGCATTTAAAGCTACAGGCTACAAAAACAGCTACACTGAACTCACAAACATGGGCAGATTCTGGAGGCTCTGATAAATCATCTGATGGGTGTTTTGAGCTAAAACTTTACAGACACATTCTGGAGACACCAAAGGCTTATTTTACATCTTGTAAAAGGGGTGCCCTTTAAAAAAAATACACAGTTAAAAGCCCTTCTCAGGAGATCAAAACAAAAACACTTGGGAAATATCTGAACAATAACTACAATTTCACAATAAAGGCGCATACTTTTTTCCCAGTGTTACATTCCTAAAAGTGTCCGTCCACAGGAAAGAGTCAGAGTTCAGTTCTTCTGGATCTGGTGTTTGTCTCCTAGACCTGGTTTTGTTGACCCAGGCAGGTTTAAAGTGTTCATCTGATCTCAGCTCAGTGGATAAAGAGGAAACAGTTTATCTGCGGCAGGATTCTCAGTGTTTTGGACCATTTCTTTTGGTTGTTTTTGTTCAGACCTGCAGGATTATCAATGTTTTGGAGCAGTTTTTTAGGGTTGTTGTTGGTCAGACCTGAGTTTTGGAGCAGTTTTTGGTCAGACCTGCAGGATTCTCAGTGTTTTTGGACCATTATTTTGGTTGTTTTTGGTCAGACCTGCAGAATTCTGTGTTTTTGGTTATTTTTGGTCAGACCTGAAGGATTCTCAGTGTGTTTTGGAGCAGTTCTTGGGTTGTTTTTGGTCAGACCTGCAGGATTGTCAGTGTTTTTGGTTGTTTTTGGTCAGACCTGTGTGATCTGCTTCTCTGTGGGTTTGGGTTCGCTCTGTTCTTCTTCAATATCTTCACTCTCCACCAGTTTCAGGCTTTCCAGAGTCTGCCGCGATTCTTTCCTCCTGCAAACACAACACACAACATCAGATCAACAACAACAGCTTTTATATACTATAATATTACAAAGACAAGGTGTTTATGCTGACATACAGTATGTACATACAGACGACAAAATGATTCGCCCTCATGAGAAACTGTAATTCTTTGTGATGTTAAAGAATTTAACACATTTTTAAAGACATTATTAATAAATAATGTCCATTTTTCTTTCATCTTTGCCTTGCACATAATATTTTACTAGTTATTTTCTAAACAACTGTGATCTCTGATCCCTCAGTCGGCGGTGCTGCATCAGGAATCCTCGTTCATCCATAAGCCAGATCACCACATGGTCTCAGGACTACTGCCGCAAACCTTTGTCAAGTACCACAATATGGAATTACATCCACAAACGCCAGTCAAAACTGTACTGAGCCAAAAAGCAGCCCTATGTTAACAGTGTCCAGAAGCGCTGTCGGCTTCTCTGGGCTCGGAGGCATCTTGGATGGACCATCACACAGTGGAAACGTGTACTGTGCTCAGATGAATCAGCATCACAGGTGTTTTTTTGGGAGAAATGGATGCTGTGTGCTCTGGACCAAAGAAGAAAAGCAGCATCCAGACTGTTACCAGCAACAAGTCCAGACGCCAGGATCTGTCATGGTATGGGGTTGTGTCAGCACCCTTGGAAAAGCCATCTTGCTCTTCTGTGATGCACCACTAATGCTGAGCAGTACAGAGAGATCTTTGGAGCACAATATGCTGCTTTCTTTTCCAGGTAAGACAATGCTAAACCACATTCTGCACACATTACAAAGTCCTGCTGCGGAGGAAGAAGATACAGGTGCTTGACTGGCCTGTCTGCAGTCCTGACCTGTCTCCAATAGAGAATGTGTGGCACATTTTGACGTGCAAAATGCAAAAGCAAAGCCTGTTGGCCACCTTAAGACTAGTTTGCAGGAAGAATGAGATAAATTGACACCTGAAACACTTGGTGTCTTCAAGCCCTTAATGTTGTTAAAGGGAACAGCAACATTACCAAGTGGTAAACGCTTTATTGATACTACGTTTTGACATGTGCTGCTTGTTGTATTGTTCGTTGTATTGTCTCCAATAAAAAAACCATCATAGTAAATGTAGAGACCATCATTTTCCATACTGTCCCAACTTTTCTGATTTGGGGTTGTATATGTGTGTGTGTGTGTGTGTGCGTGTGTGTGTGTGTGTCAGTACTTGTTGCTGAGCTGCTGGTCCAGTAGTTGTCTCTGTAAGCGGCCGTTTGCTTCTCTCTCCTCCATCAGTTCTCTCTGTGTGTGTCGATGCTGAACGTCTCGCCGACTCGCCTCTTCTTCAGCCTCGTTCAGCTGACGCTTCAGTGAGCGGATGCGCTGAGTCATCTAAACACACACACACTGTAAATTATACTGCATATTTATAAAATGTACAGTATTTATATTGCTTTCCCTTGAGCGTCTGACTTTAAAACTGATTTCTGATCGCCAGCTGTAGTTTATATTCTGCTGTTTATTGTGTGATGATTATTTAACATGATGAAGGCATCAAGTTGTGCTGTTTGATTAGCATATTTGCTTGTGTTGATTAGTCGTATGGTTTTTATGAGTGCTGGAGCATTTTTCAGTCAAGATAATTGATTTTGGCTAATTTGAGCTTCAGCCTGTGTGTTTACAGTTTTAAATGTGATGTGTAAGTGGACTGATGTGTTCAAGCAATTGAGGAAAGCTGTAATTGTGTTCAAACTGTGGCTCAGCTCTGGGTTTTGTGCTGGATTATAGTTTAGCTGTGATATCATGAGCTGTGTCTCCCTCTGCTGGAGAGAGAGAGTGTGTGTGTGTGTGTGTGTGTCGTACCAGCTCCCTCTGTTCAGTGGAGATCTTGTGCTCCTCCTCCATCTGCTCCGTCAGCTCGTGAATCTTCCTCTCCAGTTTACTGATGGTGTTTGTCAGAGCCACTTTATTCCTGAGGAGACACAGATCAGGTTCAAGACTCTAGAACATCTCACATGTTCTTCAACAAATCAAGCATGCAACACAACTGTCCATGTTTTAGTGTTCTCTCACAAAACCCTCACGCTTTCCTGGGGAAAGAAACTATGCATTCTCTTGCCAAATTCCTGCATTGCCTTTAAGATCTATTGCAATCTATCTATATAAACCTATTTCTCTTGAGAGACCTATAACTAAACTATTGGCTTTGCTTCAAAGTGTTGAGTTCTCTCCCTTAAACGGTTGGGTTCCCTTTAAAAATGTTGGGTTCTCTCCCTCAATCTGCTGGGTTCTCTTTTAAAAAGTTGGATTCTCTTCTTTTAATTAAACTGTTGGGTTCTCTCTCTCAAACTGTTGGGTTCTCTCTCTCAAACTGTTGGGTTCTCTTTAAAACTGTTGGGTTCATTTCTCTACACCAAACTGTTGGGTTCTCTCCCTCAAACTGTTGGGTTCTCTTTAAAACCGTTTGGTTCTCTCCCTCAAACTGTTGGGTTCTCTTTAAAACTGTTGGGTTCTCTTTAAAACTGTTGGGTTCTCTCCCTCAAACTGTTGGGTTCTCTTTAAAACTGTTGGGTTCTCTTTAAAACCGTTGGGTTCTCTCCCTCAAACTGTTGGGTTCTCTTTAAAACTGTTGGGTTCTCTTTAATACTGTTGGGTTCTCTTTAAAACTGTTGGGTTCTCTCCCTCAAACTGTTGGGTTCTCTTTAAAACTGTTGGGTTCTCTTTAAAACCGTTGGGTTCTCTCCCTCAAACCGTTGGGTTCTCTTTAAAACTGTTGGGTTCTCTTTAAAACTGTTGGGTTCTCTCCCTCAAACTGTTGGATTCTTTTTAAAACTGTTGGGTTCATTTATCTACACCAAACGGTTGGGTTCTCTCCCTCAAGCTGTTGGGTTCTCTTTAAAACTGTTGGGTTCTCTCCCTCAAGCTGTTGGGTTCTCTTTAAAACTGTTGGGTTCTCTCCCTCAAACTTTGGATTCTTTTTAAAACTGTTGGGTTCATTTCTCTACACCAAACGGTTGGGTTCTCTCCCTCAAACGGTTGGGTTCTCTCCCTCAAGCTGTTGGGTTCTCTTTAAAACTGTTGGGTTATCTCCCTCAAACTGTTGGGTTCTCTCTCTCAAACTGTTGGGTTCTCTTTAAAACTGTTGGGTTCATTTCTCTACACCAAACTGTTGGGTTCTCTCCCTCAAACTGTTGGGTTCTCTTTAAAACCGTTTGGTTCTCTCCCTCAAACTGTTGGGTTCTCTTTAAAACTGTTGGGTTCTCTTTAAAACTGTTGGGTTCTCTCCCTCAAACTGTTGGGTTCTCTTTAAAACTGTTGGGTTCTCTTTAAAACCGTTGGGTTCTCTCCCTCAAACTGTTGGGTTCTCTTTAAAACTGTTGGGTTCTCTTTAATACTGTTGGGTTCTCTTTAAAACTGTTGGGTTCTCTCCCTCAAACTGTTGGGTTCTCTTTAAAACTGTGGGTTCTCTTTAAAACCGT